AACATGAGAAGATAGTGGAGAAGAAAGAGAAGCTCGAGAAAGGGCATCACCATCAGCCATAGAACTCCCTGGGCGATGAACAACATCAAAGTCATTTATCTGAAGCTTCAAAGCCCATCGAGCAGTACGACCAACCAAGTTCTTCCACTTCAATAATGAAGTAACAGTAGCATGATCACCTTCAAGTAACATTTGAGAACCATGTAGATATGCATGAAGCTTATCAAAACCCCAGACTGCTGCTAAACACTCCTTCTCTGTCGTGAAGTAGTTCATCTCCATTGGTTGTAATATACAGTTTATATGCGCAATGGGATGGTGCTGACCAGGCACACTCGAGCTCTCTTGCATTAACACAACTCCAAGACCTATGTCAAAAGCATCCATGTGCAAAATAAAAGGTCGAGTGTAGTCAAAATATGCCAAAACTGGAGGAGTCATCAATATCTTTTTGAGATCCACGAACGCCCACTCACAATCCAAAGACCAAATGAAAAATGACGTTAATGACTTCAACAACGTTTGCAATGGTGTTGTGCGATCAGAAAAATAATCTATAAAAAGACCAAGATATTGCGCCTTGCCTAAGAAGTGTTGCACATCATTCACACACTTTGGAGTAGGGAACTTTAGAATAGCCACAAGTTTGTCAAGATCAACTTGCAAACCTTCACAAGAAATACAATACCCAAGATAAGTTGTGTCCTTGGACCCAAATACGCACTTCGACTGCTTCAACTTTAAACCAATATCTTGTAGCCGATCCAACACTTTACAAACATCACAAACATGCTCCTCCCACATCCCCTTCGAGTGGATCAAGACATCATCAATGAAGTTAGTAGTCACTTCCGGCATATCACAAAAAACCTCATCTATCATTTACTGAAAAGTTGCTGGAGCATTGTTCAAACCAAACGGCATCACCAAGAACTCATACAAACCAAATGATGTACGAAAAACAGTTTTAGGAATATCTTCTTTGGCCATCAATACTTGCTAGTACCCAAAAGCAAAATCTAGCTTGGTGAACCAACGACTTCGCCCCAGATGATCCAAGAGATCAGCAGTGTGAGGAAGAGGGTACACATCTAGGATCGTCACTTTGTTTAACGGACGATAGTCAATGCAGAAACAAATACTCCTATCAGGCTTCGTCATAAGATGAGGTTCACATGCCCAAGGACTCCATGACTTCTAAATAACACCCTTCTCTATCATTTCCTTAACATTTGCATGTAAAATCTTGATCTCCTTGGGTGATTGACGATGAATAAGAACCTTAATTGGACGAGCATCCCCAATTGGAATTGGATGACATGTGGTAATCGTGGCCCTAGACGATAAGTCAAATTCAAAAAGATCAAAATACTCCTTCATGAGTTGGTCAACCGCTGCAACATAAAGATTGTTAGAGGGATCGGAAAAGGAAAGAGCAGAACAATATAGAAACATAAGAGGAAATAATTGGGGATCAAAAGTAATGGAAGCAGAGGTAGAAGTAAAGGGACGAAGAAGTATGAAAGTGAGAGGAATAGATGAAACATAAGGAAGTATGAGACAAGGGAAAAAAGCTTTAAAGTCACACTTGGCATGATTGTGCTGCAATCAATCCATACCAAGAATGAGGTCAAAAGCTTGACTCAGCACCACCTGAAATGACTGCAACTCAAGCTCGAGATCGCCCACACGCACAACCAGGTCTGCTTCATCTTATACACATACATGTGTACATCTGTTGCCATAAAGAATGAAAACTGGTTCCACTGCACGACGCAAGTGTAGACGGCAACGTGTGGTAACAGGTCGAGCAATAAAAGATAAACTCAAATTTGTATCAACCAACATGGAGAGAATAATAGGAGACCTCTTGTTATAAAAACAAGCTTGGAAAATAAACATTAGATGAACCGGTGCCGAATGAACCCCTTGATGATACTCCTGAAAAAAAAATGGAGGGGTCACTAACTTATTCGTGCAAGGTCCCTCTGTTACTCGTGCGACTCTTTGTTTCCCAGATGTAGCTTAGTGTCCTGACCTTCCACTGCAGCAACACCAATGAGACGTTGCTGACACCAAGGTCTCCACCCAAGAAATGGAGGTTGCTAATTCGGAAAACGCCGACAACGCTGATAAGTATGACCAACTTTATCACACATTCAACAGCGAACATCATGGCCATGACCATGTCCTTGCCCTTGTCCTTGGACTCAAGCAGCAACCTCCATTGGAACAAAACCATCACCCATAAGAAGTGGAGCTAAAGGACATGCAGCGAGAAGTGGAAGAGGCAACGTCTCATAATGTTGTGCCAAGCAAAGAGCATCATCAAGGGTGGCGGGAGCAAGTGCTTGCACAAGTATGACAAGATTTTGATGAAGTGCTGGCCACAACATTCCTAGCTTAATCCACTCCGACATATTTAGCTTTGCACGAAGCAAAAGACTTCAGAAACGAACACCAAATTGCATTACCAACTCATATGGCCCTTGGTGAAGATGATGCAATTGTTGGAAGGCATCATCACAATTGTCAGCATGTTCGAAGGCGCATTTGAAGACGTCCAAAAGAATACTCCAATCCCCATGAGTGGTTACGCTTAAACCATTGTACCATTGCAACGCCGTCCCTTGGAAACACATGGGAAACTCACGTAAACGTCGAGCATCATCCCAAGAATGATATGTGGCAATCATCGTGAAGTGATCAAACCAATGATACACATCATCCCCAGGATTCCCGCGAAAAAACTCCAGCCGAACACGAGGATTGACACCAAGAGCAAGAGGAGTTGGACCATGTGTCATAAATGCCACCATGAATTGAGTTTGGTTGTTCAATTGCAAGCGTATAGCATCAAGTAATTGTATCAATTGCTGCTCCAAAGTCAAAGGAGGAGATTGTTGATCTGTCATGAAGGTGAACAAAAAAGAAAGAGCAAAAGAAGAGAAATGACAAAAAAGCTAGAAGGAAATGGTAGATCTAAACAATGCAAAAAGCTAAATCTAAACCAAAATTCTGAAAGGAAAGAACAAAAAAAAGGAAATGGAAAAAGCTAGATGTAGACGATGCAAAAATTAGATCTAAACCAAAATCCCAAATCCAAACACTCCTTAGGGACAATCAAAGGTGCCCCTCACCTCCACCAATGTGAATGTTTGGAATATGGAAAGGGAATACAAAAAATTTGCATATCAATTAGCCCAAAAACCCTAGCTTATATATAAGAGTGAGTGGTCCAGATTGAAACCAATTTGACAATTACCAAAATCCCACTATGCTAATATTAGTATACGGCATCGTAACTGTACATTTGGCCCTCATATAGTGTTATTCTTGTTTAGTATTATTGTATAATCTAATTGATTAATAATTATAAAAATATTTATAATTTATAAATTAAGATTCATCAACAAATGAACAAGAATATACTAGGGAATTTATAAATTATAAATACAAAATTAACCTATATAAATAACAACTATTAGATAGTAAAATATCCTAGAATATCCATATATCCACTAGTTTTGCTTTTGAAAATTATAATATAATCATAAGGTTTTAAAATTTTGACTTTTACCAATATAATTAAATGTAATTTAGCTTTCGATATTCTTAAACACTCTATAAACTAGGTGTTGATCGAGCCATGGGATTTTGAGCAGCTCTACAAAGTGCTATATAGAGCTCTCTCTGCAAAAATACACAATCACATAATTCCAAGAAAATTATGAAACATAGGACATGGAACTAGAAACCAAGAACAAAATCTACAAGCTACACTGCCACCATGAGTTAATCTATCACCAAGTAGATGTGGTTCATGCTTGGGAACCTTAAAACCACCTCCAACATTGTAGAACTCTCATTTGAAGAATTTATATAACGCTATGACGATGATGGTCACATTATCTAACAGAACATCAGTGGTGCCACACATTAAATTTGAACATCTTTGGGATGTCGCAATGCAACACTATGCCAATCGATGTTGGAGTGATGGGTTGGTCCGATCGAGCAGGATTCCGAGGACATATGCGCATGAATCAACCGGATCATAAAGCTTGGAATTGGAGATGAGTTTATTCAGGTGTGGCTTCAAACTTGGAGTCTAGTGGTTCGATGCAGGCATCTCCAATCTGGTGCGATTAGAAATGCAATTCGCTATCACCTCATTTTTCTACAACAGAGAGAGGTGATGACCGACTGACCGTAAAACTCGCTACAGACCCACTGCCTTTTTCGGAGAGATCACTCGCGACATACAAAGACAGTGCAGCTGCTAAGTACATCGAATTCCTTATGTGTTGCTCGTAGCATGCCTGGCTCTTGGCTGAATTCTGGGCAGTCAGACCCTTTGCATTACAGCTAATTTCTGAGGAAACGTCATGATAATAGTTGTGGTGGTTTCGCCACACCACCTCCGGACAAGTGATACGCAGCAAACTCCATCCTCAGGACCGTCATCACGTGAATATTCACATCCCAATCGCGGGCAGCAGCACGGCTGCAACATGGCTAGTCGTGGGTGAGGATTTTCCTATACAACCACTATGAGCACCATGTTGATAGTTTTACTTCCAGTTTGGTCCTCCCTCCACATTTGAGTGCTCAAGGAGGAAGAGAGGGAAGATCTTGCTCTTCATGCAAGATTGACATCTTTTACTGTTACTACCTGATAGCAAAAATGCTATTTGTTAATGCACCATTTATTTTCCAACCGGTCTGGATGCTTGTCAAGCCTTTACTCGCCTAGCAGCATTAGCTTCTCGATCCACAAAGAGCTAGTCGACCTTGCGTAGGATTTGTACTTTCGTACACCTCATAGAGACTACTTTACCCCGGACACAGTCCCTCTCAACTTCAGGAAATAGTAGTTCTTTCAATCATCTTAGGATTGAAGGGAGCACTAGATGGTGGCAAGTTGAATATATGAATGCTTATGCAAAGAAGTTTAGCTCGAGCATATTGACTATAAGAAAATTTGGGAAAGATGATTCTTTTTCACATTAAGAACTTTTAAAAGTTCCCCTGGATCATGGAAATATACAGTGAGGTGTACGTTCCTCTTTTACAGTCCAAACCATGACAAAAAACTATGCAACAAACGAGGACGCTTTGGCGGCTCGATAGTGTCCACTGCCTTTCTTTTCTTGCTTCCTCGCTTCGGGGGCTCGATAGTGTCCACTTTCTTGCTTCGTGCCTTTGGCTGCACGATTAGATTCTCGATGTCAGACCATGGCAACTTCAAGGAGACCCTGAGATAGAGAAACACAGTCAGAGACACGAAAAGTATTAATGCTTGCCTTCCCTCCATCCGCTGAGCCTTCTCCCTACGTCTTTCTTCCCTGAGACCCACAGGGTGAGTTTCTACACTCGAAAAGATTTTACATTCTTACCCTCTTGTTTCGTCAAACCTGCGATACTCATCCATGCTCACTCGTCCAGCCGCGACTTGAAGCTGTGTAAGTGAGCCTTTTTCCAAGGGTGGATCACTACAAAAACCTGTCAAGAACAAAGAGAAGAAAGAGGACTGTAAAAATACGTACTCCCAGTAGATGTGAAGCTTGATAAGACGGCTAGGCAAGATCTCCAGCCGCAGCAGCTCCTCGTAACGCATCAGCTTTTGCAGCTCCTCCTTGAATACAAGATTAACAACTGCTTTGGAGGAACAGCGGTTATGAACTCTTGCAGCACGGTAGTAATACGTCGCTAGATCGTCTGGGACGTCATAGTTTACCACCAGATTCCCTCTGAGATCATCAAACAGCCGCTCGTCCCTGAGAGAGACAAACGTAAGAGTGACAAAAATTCAATTTTTTCTACCTGAGATCGCTGTTTGTAACCAGCGCTCGCGGTCTCCGAGGAAACTTGTACTCGTCACCGGCAAGAAAAGTGTCGAAAGGATTGTATTTCATGTCATTCGCTGGAGAGAGGAGAGCGCTGGAGACGAGTGCCACCGAGTCAGCGGTGTTACAAAAGATGACATAGCTGTGGAAGCGTTCGCGAATGCGGTCGCGGACGTACAGGATCTTCTCCTCGTGCGTGTCCATAACCACGAACGTGTGACCCACGAAGTCGAGAGTGAGGCGCTCATCGCGCTTCATTCCTAGCTCACCGTAAATCTCAAGCCTTGAATCCGCGGCGGTGCGTCGCTTGTCCATCGTCTGAAATCCCCGTTTCAAAACTTAGGGCATAGTCATAATGATCTAGGGGTTTTTAAAACTCAGTGCATCTAGTCGAAAAGGCTCTACAAAATCTTCCTCCTGGTGGAATCGAATCCTTAGGATTTTTGACTTGCAAGGATTCAACGCAGCAAACACTTCGTAAGCGTATTGTGCTTCTCTCATACATCCTGACATCAGGAAATACTAGAATTGAAGGATTAGAGCAATGAATCTCCTATGCAAAATTAAGAAGTTTAGCTCGAGCTATAAGAATTTAGGAAAGATCTCACCTTTCTTTGCCTGAAGATCTTTTCCATGAACCACAAGAAACTTTTAAAAGTTTCATCGATCACGGAAAAGATCACTTTATATACAGTCGGGATAACCAAACCATGCCAAGAGACTATGCAACAAACGAGAACGCTTTGGGGGCTCGATAGTAGTGTCCACTGCCTTTCTTTTCTTGCTTTCTCGCTTTGGGGGCTCGATAACTTTCTTGCTTCGTGCTTTTGGCTGCTTGATTAGATCCTCGATGTGAAACCATGGCACCTTCAAGGAGACCCTGAGATAGAAAAAACAGTCAGAGACACGAAAAGTATTAATGCTTGCCTTCCCGCCGCATCCGTCCGCCTGGGTCTTTCTTCCCTGAGACCAAGAGGTTGAGTTTCTTTACTTGAAAAGATTTTACTTTCTTACCCCCTTGTTTCGTCAAACCTGCGATATTCATCCATGCTCACTCGTCCAGCCGCGACTTGGAGCTGTGTAAGTGAGCCTCTTTCTAATGGTGGATCACTACGCGATCGAGCAAAAGCTTGTCAAGAACAAAGAGAAGAAAGAGGTTTATACAAATACGTACTCCCAGTCGATGTGAACATTGATAAGACGGCTAGGCAAGATCTCCAGCCGCAGCAGCTCCTCGTGACGCATCAGCTTGTGCAACTCTTCTTTGAAAACAAGATTAACAACTGCTTTGGAGCGACAGTCGTGATGAACTCTTGCAGCACGGTAGTAATACGTCGCCAGATCGTCTGGGATGTCATAGTTTACCACCAGATTCCCGTCGAGATCATCAAACAGCCGCTCGTCCCTGAGAGAAACAAACGTAAGAGTCACAAAAATTCAATTTTGTCTACCTGAGATCGCTGTTTGTAACCAGCGCTCGCGGTCTCCGACGAAACTTGTACTCGTCACCGGCAAGAAAGGTGTCGAAAGGATTGTATTTCATGTCATTCGCTGGAGAGAGGAGGGCGCTGGAGACGAGCGCCACCGAATCAGCTGTGTTACAAAAGATGACATAACTGTGGAAGCGTTCGCGAATGCGGTCGCGGACGAACAGGATCTTGTCCTCGTGCGTGTCCATAACCACGAACGTGTGACCCACGAAGTCGAGAGTGAGGCGCTCATCGCGCTTCATTCCTAGCTCACCGTAAATCTCCAGTCTTGAATCGGCGGCGTTGCGTCGCTTGTCCATCGTCTCCCTCGGGGATTTAGGGCTGAAATCCCCCTTTCAAAACTTAGGGCATTTCTAGCCGTCGGATGGCAAATATCTAATGGCTAAAAGGGAGAAGCTGACTTACTGAACTTAGGTCTGGTTGGCCGAAGTTCGTGGTTGACAAACAAGAACAATCAGAGCTAGGACGAGAAAAAAAAAAGGAGAGAAACCTCGAGTTGCCCTCTCGATCGAAATTCTTGTGAATGCTGAGCACAGCCGCGGCCTAGAAAAAGAAAGAAATGAGAAAACAATGCACATTCCTCTCAAAGCTCATACCTGTTCCAATAGGCTTCCATATACATCACCGTCCCTGTCAATTGCCTGTAAAACCCTCTAGCTAATCAGCAACTTACCATCCATTTCGCTTATTGAGTAATCCAGCTTAGCTGTAATTAACCCAGCTCCATTCTGTGAAACTAGCATAAAACAGAGGAAAGGAATTTCGTTAACAGCGCTACCTGTTCATACGAATTCATGTCCACATTCGAGGCCTTGAAGACAAGCAGCATCACTGACCTTCGGCGTGATCTTGCGCTGCTCCTTTTTTCCCTCTCGAATCACCCCTGCTGAAAACAAAAAACAGTGCAAACTTCTACAGCATTGAAGACCGATAAAGAAAGTGAAGGACCTTAAGAACTGGAGGTACCTTGTGATCACTGTTGCTGCCGATTGATCGAAGTACCTGTTGCTGTCATCCAAAGCTTGGAGCTTCTCGAGGTTGAGCTTCGTGTGTTCGTTGCTCCTGAATCGCCAACAACAAACAAATCCATCGATTGAGGCACGAGCAAATGCAAAGCTTACTCGCAACATATTCAGGTTCGTACTCGGCTCTCGAATGCCGGGATAGCGCATGAGGTACCTCGCTGTCGATTGATCAAGCTTGTGATCCCTTCCAGAGCAGGAAAAACGAAGGTTGGAAACATCAAACATCTTCGAATCGCTGATAAAACAAGGTCGTCTAAGTCGAGACGATTCGACGGAGAGAGTCGTGTTTCAACAGTTGTGATGATACCTGAAAGGATAATCGATTTGGGGCAAAATCTAAAAGGCATACCACTCCATACCAGTCTTACTAGCATCGCTCCTGCTGCAGCCATGAGATCCAACACCTAGCTGTTGCTTAGCAACCCTCAGGAACTCAAGATCTCCCTACTCATTGCGGGACTTGGGGATGGAGATGGATCATTTTACTTCGATCACGGCAAGCTCCATTCCAGAGGACGTAAGGACTGGAGGAATACATTCTTGTGGTTTCCTTCCCTTGATCGCAAGGGCGTGGGCAATATCGGAGAGCTCTTTTTTTCTGTGGAGGATTGAAGGGTCAGATGTAGTATTTTTGAAAAACAAAAACTAACTACGTTTTTTCTCTTGCAGGGATGGTAAACTGCTGCGGTATCCATGCCAACCTGGTGATGAATGGAGGGCTGTGGGAGCTAAAGAGCAGAATATAGTCTTGGCATCCTCCACGGAGGTAAGTTCTAGTGCTAGAATAAAATTGTTAGTGATTGGCAATGTTTTTTATTTCCAGGTGATTCTACTTTCACTTGAGCTTGTAAAAGTGTCATCAATACCCACAGGAAATGTTCTGGTTACCTGTATTGAAGCATCCTGGCAGGGAATTTTTCTGGGTGGTCTTGATGGTCATTTTACAAGCTGACGGAAGCTTACTTCCAGAGACTTACTGGTGGATTCTTCTCCTTCGTCAGGTATTTCGTTTTTGAAATTCTTCTCCAAGTGTTTAAAAGAGCTCATTGCAGGCGAAGGACGCTGGTTCTGCAGCTATGTTATGACGAAGAGAGGCACCTGTTATACTCGCGGTCGGAGAAGAAGAACAGCGATTGACCTTCATAGCTGCTAGGACGTTGGCGAGGTTGTTGTCACAGATGCCATCTCCATCACTCCGCTCTCGCGTGTAGCAGCATCTTCGGATAAAGTTTTGGTGGCAGTTTTGTGCAACGGGAACCAAGTCTACGTGAGCAGCGATTTCAGGATTGTGGAGACGGTTGCTTGGCGATCAGATGGCTTTATATGCACAGGATATCCACAGATTATTGCGAAGGATGGTTACTACTCAGCTGGAGTGCTGTTCCTAGCGTCTACTTCTCGTCTCGTAGTACGGTATCAGGGGGCAAGCTTTCAGGTCGACGAGGAAGTGCTTGCTTTTGCGGACATCCTGCCTCCTGTAGATGAACTCCGTATGGCATCGGCGAGTTTTCTAAGGGACTTGGACTTGGGACAAGTTGCTGCGGCACGAGCTCTGTGGTCGCTTCCAGAAGTTCACACTCAACATCTTCTTTCAGCAAGGAGAGCAGTCCTACTTACTTCTCAGGTGGCAATCGTAATCGTCATAAAGAGGCCCGTGGATTTGCTTCAAGAAATTTTAGCGTCATCGAAGCCTGCGTTATGGAATGTTCGACAGTTCTTCGACTTCTTTGGCCGCATAGAAACGTCTTCAATGTATTTTATGCTTGCTGCTGGCTTTGAGCACCAAGAGTCTAGAAGAGCTTCTGAGCTGCTGCTGCTTTCAGATTCGTCTTTGCTTCGTGCGCGCCATGCTATCAAGGCTTGTGTTTTCCGTATGGCGCTTCAACACAGGATCCATCCCCGATGCCTTACTGGCTGCAATGCTCGAGCTGGAAAGCTTTATTACAACACTGGTGAGTTGATTGATTGTTTAGTTTACGTATTGAATTTTTGATTTCCATTGATAAGACTTTCGTCACTTTGGTGAGAAAAGTTGTGATGGTTGGGAGGTATTTAAGCGTCTCATGCCTCAAAAAAGTCGACACCAACGAATCCTTTGCTACCTTCGTATGCCATGAAAGTGTTTTTTTTGCGGCAGCCGTAAAATTCATGGAGGTAAGTCTGGTTTCAAAAGCTTCTGGAAAGCTATTGACTATTGTTTTCATTGTTTTCAGGAAAATGGCAATGATAGAGATGTGCAAGATCTTTGGATGTCGCTTAGTCAACCGGCTTTTCTATTCTATCAAAAACTTAGAACCGCATTGGAAAGTGAAGTTGGAGAACAATCAGAAGAGAGAGCCACACTTGAGAATTTGATGGAACGCATGCTTTCAACATGGGACTTTCCAATTGATGGAAACGATGATTACAGGGCGAGGACGTAAGTATATAATTGATTTTAAGATTCTGAGATGCTAAAATTTTCTTTACAGGAATGGCATTGATCTCGTGTCTCTATCCTCCGGCCAGTATGGAATGGTGTTCTATCAGACAACAACCGATAGAGTTCTTAAAGTGATCAAGAAGACTGTGAACTGTTCCCAGGAACAAGCAGAGATGGAGGTCGAATTTCTCCAGGAATCGCGTAAGCTTTGTGCTTCGGATTACTTGAAGATGGTCCATTCAACATTGGAGGTCCGTGCATCCTACAGGAAAGAGTCATGATGGATGATAACTTGGAGGAACGTTTGAGAAGCTTATACTTTCCAGGAGAATGGGACGGCAGGCCAAAAGTGCCGTGGGATCTGCGGTTGAGATGGCTGGAGGAGCTGGATAGTAAAACGTTTTTTGAAAGACCGGAGCTTTTGGTGAAGAACAACCAGGTTTTTGGTCTCGAGCAGGAGCTGGACCTTTCTAAAGTCGTCACCGACGAAGCTCGCCTTCTTGCCAGGATGCACTTCAAGGGCGGCTTCAATGGAGCTGACATCGAATTCGTTGTGGGAGGCCACGCTCAGGTGTTTTGCATCGACATGGGGATGGTCCAGTACGTTGGAGGCCCTGGTGACAACGATGGTGACGACGAGGATTTCAATGCAGATGAGTTCCTTTCGAGTTTTGTGAGCAAATTCATCCCAGATACTGAGAGCTCTCTATGGCCGTTTTTCAGAGAAGGCTACATCTCAGAGGCAGCAGCACTCGGTTATGATCGATTTGGCAGAGCAGTCATAGATAGAGTTGAAGAATAGGAGGCTTGGGGAAGTAGTTTTGTTTCTAATGGAAGGAACGCTGCTGAGCATAGCAAACCAATCACAGTTCTTTACTCCGAATCCAAGAGATCCCAGAGATCCCAGCTGTTCCACTCTGGGGTGACCAGATAATGTTTGAGATTAACGTAGTCAACTATAAAGCATAAATTCAATCTAGATTCTAGGGTCAAAGCGCTTGGCTATGGAGGAGAATGGGTCGCCAGGCATGGCGGCTGCGGCCGGGGGCAGCGATGAAGACGATGCCTTTCGGAAGATACGCAGGGAGGCAAATGGGGGACCTGCCCGGGAGCTTCCTGAGCTATGTCTCTCGGCGGATGGAGGGATCGCGATGGGCGGCGTACGCCCAGATGATCATGGATTGGCGGGACAGGATAGGGATCCACGGCGGGGACAGGACGCAGCGGGTTTCTTCCTCGCGCGCGGCGAGAGAGGAGTCGCGGCTGGATCGCCGCCGGAGGAGCCGGCGCGAGGAGAAGTATGCCACGATTCTCCTGAGCTGCTTGGAGCCAGGGGCATTGTCCACGGGCAAGTGGATGCACGAGAGGATCGTCAAGAGGGGCTTGGGCGACAGCGTCTTCTTGGGCAATCTTCTTATCAAGCTCTATGGGAAATGCGGGGCCGTGGAGGATGCAAGGTCGGTGTTTGATGCTCTGGGCGCGAACAGGAACGCTTTCTCTTCGATCTTGATGATCATCGCATATGCCCACAATGGGCATCTTGGCCGGGCTAGACAGATCTTCTTCCAGATGCCTTGCCGGGATGTTGTGTCGTGGACTGGGATGATCGCGCTTCATTCCAACGAGGGCTGTTTCAAGGAGTCGCTGGATCTCTACAAGGGAATGCTGTGTGATGGGATGAAGCCTGTGAGGATTGGATTCATCACAGCTCTGGACGCTTGCATCCACTTGAAGAGTCTCGCGGAGGGGCGAGCTTTGCACTCTCATATCGTGGAGTCCGGCCTCGAGAGCCACTGGAAAGTGAAGAACTCACTCCTTTGCATGTATGGTTTCTGCGGGAGTGTTTCGAGGGCTAGGAAACTCTTTTTGAGCTACTCGGAGAAGGACCAGATTGAGAGCAAGCTCACGAAGACGCTGCTGGTGGCTGTCTACGCTGCCAATGGCCGTCACAAAGATGCTCTCAAGATCTTCCAACGCTCGAAGGAAATGGTTTTCTTTCCCATCACTTACATAGTCGTGTTGGAGGCTTGTGCCAGCGCTCGAAAGCTCCAGGTTGGACGACGCGTGCACTCGAGGATGCCAGAGGTTTTTCAAGCTCATGGAAAGATCGGGGCTGGATTGGTGAACTTGTATGGGAGCTGTGGATGCTTGGAAAGCGCTCGAAAGTGTTTCGACAAGATGATGGTTTCGAGCAAGGACGGTCTTGGAGTTCTTCCCTGGTCTGCGATCGTTGCTGCGTATGCCTCTAACGGGCATAGCTGTGAAGCCTTGAGGCTCTTCAGGACAATGCAGCTCGATGGCACAGCTCCGAATGCCGAGAGTTTCAGAGCGCTGGTGTTTGGCTGCTGTCGAGAAGGAAAACTGGATGATGCTCGTGAGCAGCTGCTCATCATGGTTGAGAGCTATGGAATCACTCCGGACTACGCGAGCGTAATGGATCTCCTGGCTCGCTCTGGATTTGTCGATGGGTCAGGGAATTTTCGTGAAGGCCTTGACGATCCCAGGAGCCAAGACCAGCAACGCAAAACCGAGGTGGTGTTAAGACCCAAGGTTGTGGAAGACGTCTACGGTGTTTTGCGTAAGAAGTTACTGCCTAAACACGTAGATCTGGCTACTTGGCTGGACACCGACGTTCCAAACATGCCATTCTCACTCGCGAGGCACCCGCTGGAAGTTGCACAGACGAGATCGGAGATAATGCCAATCCCAAAACAGTTCCAGCAGCCTCGGCCATTCCAACCGGAGGAAGAAGAAAAGAAGCTCGAAATCGCTGCGAGGATGGAAGAAAGAAAGCGTCGGAGGGAGATCCTCAGGAGGAACCGACTGCGGAGGAAAGCCAGGATAAAGAGCGTGGTATAAGCTTTTTAGATCTGGAAGATCCATGGATAATTTGCAAGGAGGCTAGAGTTTCCGAGCAGCAAGAAGCAGGAGCAGCGGCCAGGCCACCAATCCGAGCCGAGAAGCTCGAGCAGCTGCGGATTTGATTGGTGTCTTGTCAGCTTGATCGTCGCTCTCGTCCGGAGTGGAAGACGAATCCTCGGCGGCACTGGGTGGCGACTTTGCGGGAGCTTTCACTGGCGGGGGTGACGGGACTACCGAGACAACAGGAGCGTTCTGGTCGGAGCCAAGAACACCGGTAGGGAGGAGAGGATTGCTCACCTCGACAATGCTGAGGTTGTAGGCGATGAGCTTGACGCTCTTGGTGATGGTGGCGTTGGAACCCCCGGCGGCGACGATCTGGAGAGATCCCTTGCGAGTGGTGGTGAGGTTGGCGATTCCTTGGTCCGTGCTGGCGGCTCCGGCGGCCTGGTAGAGCGACGCTACTTGCTGGCTGCCGCGGATGCTCCTGGCGGTGTTGGGATTGGTGGGATCGATGAAGGTGAGGAGGATCATGGGGCGGACGAGCGCGGCCACCTTCTTGGGGTCGGAAGAATCGGCGTGGGAGAGTGTGGAGCGGAGGGTGGCCATCTGGGAGTTCGTGAGGACGCAGACTGTGAGGGAGTTCATGGCGTTGATGGTGTCGGCGAGGCCGGATTTGGAGAGGACGGTGTTGAAGTCGGAGTACTTTGGATTGGTGGCCAGCTCCTCGGTGATGTTGAAGTTGCCGGATTCTCCCAGAGCTCCTCGAGCAGCAATGGCGATGGCAGCAATTGCGATGGAGAGGAGGAATGGGATCCTCATTGCTCTAATTTTACCTTGGCAGCAGCTAATTGGAATGGATATTGGGAGCGCTTGCTCCTCTCTCTCTCTCTCTCTCTTCTCTAGAGCCACAGAGTGTTCTTCGGTTGTTTTTTTTTTGGTTTCTTGTTGGAATGGTTTGTTGCTGGATTGACTGCTTCACTCCCTCCATTCCATGGATCAGATCTACCTCTTATTTACCCGCCACCAATGAATGCGCTGCGGAATGCAGCCAGCTTCTCCGTGGACAGACAGCGAATCAATAGTGAGGAAATTTAAGAAAAAGATAACCTGCAAAGCGTTTTTTGAAGTTCAGACTAAGGCAAGAATATGCCAGAGATAATAATTTGTTTGAGGATACACTTCGGGAATATATCATGCCAGATAACATTTGTGGTAGATATATAAAATAGGTAGAATACATTTGTTTGTTTTTTGCGATTTTAATTTGCTGTAATGTTGGTTGAAACATGTTAGAAAATAAAAATACAAATGTATAATTACTTGTTTAAATTTGTTTATAAATTATTTAAATACTATATGAATATAATTTATTTAATTTTAAGTCAAAAAAAGTTTGAAACATTTCACTCTATGGAGCATAAAGGATTCCAAAAAGTGTTATATATATATATATATTATATTATATATTAGTTTTTAAATTTATTTTATTATATTGATATTTTTATATTATAATTATGAAATCAACCTAAAATATATAAATTTTTAAATAATTAAAAGTATATTTTAGTGACGGGAAAAACTTTAAAACTAAGGTTTCATCACAATTCTGTACTGATGCATCCACTAAACACCACCTATATTTTACCCCAATCAAGAGGCTACTTTTAAACTTTGAGGGGTTGATTTTCAAATTTAGGAATATCTTTTGAATTTAATTTTAGATATACCATATATAATTAATTTTAGATTTACTAAATTTTGACATTAAAAATATAAATTATTATAAATTACCTTTATATGTATGAGTGCATGGAATATGGAAATGGAATACAAAAATGTATATATGAATTAACCCAAAAGCCTTGGCTTATATATAGGAGCGAGTGGTCCACATTAAAACAAATTAAACGGCTATCAAAATTCCACTATGTTAAAATTAATATACAACATTGTAATTGTATATTTGGACCTCATATCTTCCCCTCCTCTCAAAAGGATAGAAGGCAATTAAGGTTATTTAGTAAATGGGCTGGGATTTAAAGGAACATTAGGAGGAGGTATTAATGGAATTGTAGATGGTGTTAGTTGTTCTTGATCCTTTTGTATAAAATGTTTTAACTATTATATATATATAATTTCAGGAGGATCCACTTGTTGGATGTTATGCCAAACCTCATAAATTTGCAGTCTAGCTTGGCACAACATCTGATAGGGTCTCTTCTACTAAATAAGAAGCCTCTTAAAAAAACCACGTACTATAAAATTGAGAACATGGATTAACATTAAATCATCCACTTTGTACTCTGTAGGTGGATGATGATGGGAGTTGTAATGTTATTGTTGTCCCATTTATATGTGGCCCAAGTGTTCAGCAAACTCTACTCAGACCAATAGAAGAATGTTTGTTAAATATTAATCCTAAAACCTAGCATTAGCTGCTTGTAGCAATCGTGAAGGTAAACTCAATTTCATTGCAATATTGGATCATGACTATATATTAGTTTATATGGTGAAGCACTAATAGAACTCTACACCCCTATGATATATGCATATCAAAGAGACAGTAAATAATTATCCTAATCCGAATGTTGAAAGTTTATATCTTTCACGATCATCCCTTTGAAGATTCGAACAAGCCATTCCACCAAACCATCTGACTGTGGATGATAAACACTTGTGAAAGTGTGGTATATCCCTAACTAAGATATTAAAATATGAAATGCCTCAACCATTATTCAAAAGAATTTTCTCTAAATAGGAATGTTAAAACACCATTTGATTGAGGAAGAAGTATTCAATAATAATTGTAAACACACTAGTAAGAGTACTAACTTCCACCCAACAAATCAAGTAGTTAGAAGTAATAATGACATATTTATTGTCAATAGTCGATATTAGAAAAAGCCACATTAGATCAAATGCCACGAACTCAAATAAATGGGAAATTGCAATTAACTCTAACTATCCTTTTGTAACACAAAGAGGAGTATTATGAGCTTGGCACCAAATGCAGTTATGCATATGCCGAATAACATCACGTTGCATCTTCAGTCAATAGAAAGATTTGCACAGCTTTTTGGTCATATAATGATGTCTTATATATTTGCCTAAAATAGGAGAATCATGGTAGACATAAAGAAAGTATAGAATAAAGATTAAAGGCACCACCAACTATAAATGATCATCAAGATCTATCCCCATAAAATGAAAAATGTCTTTTTTAAAACGATATTGAGAATGTAAATTTCAAATGGCAAGTCATCAAGAAGTGATATAGATTTCTCAAACCCATCGCAAAGCCTTCAAATTCACGGCTCACATGAATTTTATCAAGAGAAGGTAAATCTTGCTTTACACTTTATGAATACTAAATATCAAGTATAACAACAGTCAATGGTATAGAATTCTTGTCCAAAAAATCCACAGATACTAGAATATCAAATTTGTCAGAAATATGAGAAGAGAGTGAAAAAGGAAGAAGAGATAAAGAAAGAGTATCAACATCAATCATAAAACTCCTCGGGTAATAAATAACATCGAAATCATATATTTAAAGATTCAAAGCCCACCAAACAATATGACTAATCAAGTTCTTCTACTTCAATAATGAAGTAACTGCAGTATAATCACTTTTTAGTAATATTTAAAAACAATGTAGATATACATGAAGTTTCTTGAAACCCAAAACTGTTGCTAAATACTCTATTTTTATCATGGAGTAATTCACATCTGTTGGTTGTAATGTACAACTAATGTATGCAATAGGATGGCACTAATTAGGTACATTTGAATTTGTGGATTGGTACCTTCAGGTCACTTTTGGAGTATCCATTGGTCATGTTGGCTCTAAGACCGATATCAAAAACATTTATTTATAAAATAAAAAGTTAAGTGTAGTTAAATTATGCCAAAACCAGAGGAGTCATCAACATCTCTTTAATATCCATAAATACCCACTCATAGTCCATAGACTAGATGAAAGACAACACTAATAACTTCAACAATGCTCGCAACAATACAGTATAATTAAAAAGATAATCAATGAAACAACCAAAATATTACACATTGCTTAAGAAACATTACACATCATTCACACACTTTGGAGTAAGGAAGTTAAAATCAACAAATTTGTTAGGATCAACTTGCAAACCTTCACGAGAAATATGGTACCTGAGATAAGTTATGTTTAGGAACATGCACTTTGATCACTTCAGCTTTAAACCAACTTCCCATAACTGATCTAACACTTTACAACTATTATGGACATATTCCTCCTATGTCCCTTTTGAGTGGATCAAGACATCATTAATAAAGTCAATAGTAACCTCATCTATTATCCCCTGGAATGTTGCTAGAGCATTGTTTAAACCAAACAATATCACTAAGACCTTATACAAATCAAATGATTTACAAAAAAAATCTTAGAAATATCTTCCTCGGCCATTAACATTGGCTAATACCCAGAAGTAAAATCTAATTTGGTGAACCAATGACTTTTCCTTAAATGATCTAAAAAATTAGCAAAGTGAGGAAGAGGGTACACATTTGGAATCATTATTTTGTTTAATGGATAATAGTCAATGCAGAAACAAATACTCCTATCAAGCTTTATCATAAGATGAGGTTCTTATGCTCAAGGATTCCATGACTTTCAAATAACACTCTTTTCCAACATCTTTTTAACGTTTGTATGTAAAATTTTAATCTCTTTTAGTGACTGATACAAAAAAAAAACCTTGATTAGATGAGCATCCCTAGTTGGAATAGGATGACTTGTTGCAATCTTGGCTATAGATAATAAGTCAAATTCAATTAGATTAGCATACTCCTTTATAATTTGATGAATTGCTACAACACAAAGATCATTAGAGGGATTTAAAGAAGGAATAAAGAAACAAGACAAAAATATAGGAAAAAATAATGAAGAAACCAAAGTGATGGAATTAGAGGTAAAAATAAAGGGATAAAGAGTAATAAAAGTAAAAGGAATAAAAACAATATAAGGAAGTGTGAGACAAGGGGGAGAAGCCTTAAATTCATATTTGGTATAATTGCACTACTGCCAATACATATTAGGAATGAGGTTAAAAGTTTGAATCGGTGCCACTTGCAATGACTATAGCTTAAGGTTAAGATCACCCACATGCACAACTAGGTCCATCTTATCCCCTGTACATACGTGTGTATAGCCGTTGTTATAAAAAATGAAAATTGGCTCTACTATTCAACACAAATGAAGATGGCACCATGTGGCAATAGGCTGAGTAATAAAAGATAAACACAAGCCTATATTAATCAACACAAAAAGAATAATAAGAAACCTTTGTAAATCATAAATTTTCCTTTTCAATTTACTAACTTACCTCGTTTATCTAACCATCACTACCTTGGCCTTAGTTAAGTTCCCTTACCAAGGTTCCCACCTATTGTACTAGCTCTTACTTGGTCCTACTTAATTTCAATAACTGACTATACAAACAACAGAATGTTAACCATCCATCCATGAATTCTCAAATTTTCTCCCAATCCCCTTCCCCGGGTTAAATTAAATTTAAGGTTTAGCTACAATCCCTACAGGCATAAATATCCAAACACACCAAACCACCAAGTTCTTAACATCCTGTGGTATAGCAAGACTTGATCATGGGACCTTGCCTTGGGTGCATCTCTTACTTTGAGACCTTGAGGGGAAACACTATGGCTTAATGGCCTAGTATGGGTACCCTTACTGAGTACCCATACTCTCAAAGGGAAGGCTCAAACCCTTAGGAAGGAGCAAGGACTAATAAGCCACAGAGTACTTAAATAGGGCACCATCCCACTTGAGTTGGGAGCACTACAGTCGGTTTCCCTTCCGAGAGTGGGAGCTCTTCTTAAGCACTTCCTCAGTTAGCCTTTTTAGCACCACCCGATCAAATTCATGCTCACTTCCACCCAA